ACTTTGCTGACTCTGGACCACTGCAAGGCCGCACACCTCATTTATGAGCGGGAGGATGGCAGATTCCATCCTGTGATCAGAAACGTTGTTTATCAAAACATCATTTTGCCTTGCAGGGACCGAATCGATCCACAAAACAGAGCTAACTGGTTATTCGATCCTGCAGCTCCCGAGGGGCGTGTTCCTACTCATGAAGACCAGCCTAATTCCCCCGCAGACGAAATGCAAGAAGAGCTGGACAGTGCTGCCCCCATCCACGACATTCCAGGGGCTTCATCTGCACCACCTCCTATTACTCTTGAAGAAGTTCTCTGTGCCATCCATCTGCAAAATCAAATGAGTGTCGCACTTGAAAGAAGACAACAGGAACAATATGAGTATTTATGCGCACAAAACACTCAGATCTTGACTGGAGAGCGGAGCATGAATGAGAGGTTGGACGAAGCCCTGTCTGAACTCAACGCCTTAAGGTTGGACGTCAGCACCCTTGGCTACCAGGACACTGACACAGAAGCCACTCCTACCAGGCGCTCTCGCACCAGGAGTAGAGGACGTGGCCATCAGTAGTCTTCTTTATTTTCTAAGTAGTTTACTTTTTCTGTTTCATTTCCTTTCTGTTTCTTTTTGTATTTGTATTTCCCCACCTATATACCGCAACATTGAGGACAATGTCGGATTTAGTGTGGGAGAGGTACCTTTCCATCTTCCATAAACAAGTAATTTTTTTTTACAATATCTCTCAATTTAAATTTTTCGCTTTATTCAGTCATACCGGAAATTTTTACTTTATCTTCGCATTAGCCCGACATACCTATCTTAACGAAATCCCAGTTGAGGAAGCCGAGAATGATTCAACAAGATCGATACGGTTATGATATCGTAGACTTCCTACTTACGCGATCTGATTCAATAACCATTATACCTATATCTTGAGTTTTAGTTCTAAAGTAACCCCTAGTAGTTTATACTAGCAGTCAGCACCGTCTTGACACAAACCACGTGGAGAATCGATGAATATAAGTGTTTGATGCTTGATCAATGAAATATCCTTCTTATCTCGCTGCTAAAAGAAAAGAAAATTTTGTGCACCAAAATACAAGGTCACATATAAGAGTTGAGCAAATAATGAAGGAACCCACTGTTGGTTGGTTCAGAGGTATCTGGTTCTGAACTTGGTAGGGTGTGTTATGGCCCGATCCCCCACAACCTCCAGTTTGGATAACATATGTAGGGTTGCCACATTCGTGTACCATACCCCGTGCTAAAAGGATCAAAGTCACTAACCGGTTACTCCACTACGTGCGTGCTAAGACAAAGGGCTTAATGTGATTGCGCCAGAACAAAACTGGGTGAAATAGATACGAGAATCTCTGGGCAGAATTATAACGGAACTGTTGGATAGTTCATTTGAAATGGAAGCCTACGACTAAGCTTATTGCTTGTGTTATTAGCGTATCGTTAATGTTTCACTCAAGTATCAGTCGAACTGACGAGGATTTCCCGTAATTGCTTTAAAAATCAAAGGTATGTCATGCATGTGCACTTGATAAAACTTATCTGATCTTTCTAAATGACTATTTGCTTGAGGACAAGCAAAGGTTTAAGTATGGGGGAATTTGATAACGAGAAATCGTATCATATAATTACTACATTTCTTATCAATTTTCATAATACATTAACTCGTTTAACTCCCGATTGTTCCGAGTTTTTGTGTTTTTTCACAGTACAACATGTTTCAAATCAAATCAGTGAAAAAGGATCACATGAAGGAAGTTAACCAAGAATCAGAAGAAAAAGAACTAAATCTGCAGATTTTGTTGTCATGACGACCGTCACACACCATGATGACCGTAACGCGCTCACAACTTGAAGTACGCTCGTCACACATCATTGACGAACATAACGCGCTATTTAAGTGCATTACGACCGTCACCTCCTCATGACGACCGTCACACGCTTATTTCAACGTTATGCATAACAGGAGACATGGGCAACGTAGTGGACGGTTCTCTTCTCCTACAATTCCTCAACTTCTAGCAACGTACAATCCGAGTCTTCCTCCACTCAAGCTGTTCCTAAATTCTCTCAACTGCAAAAATCCTCTTCTATAAATATGAGGCATTTTAATGGAACATGGTCGGAGATTTTTCTACTGAGCCAAACTTCTGCCATTCCGCATTATTATATTTTATTTGCTTTTGAACCATTTATACCTACTGTAATTTTTTTTTCCAAGATTAATTCCAAGAGTGTTAGTTCTTCATCTATGAATTAACACGGTCATATATTTCAATTAATTGCAAGGAATTTGTACGCACTCAAGATTATCACAACAATATTATTTACAGGTTTTTATGCAATTGATTTCTTTTTATTATTCCTATGCTATGTTATTTATCTTTATGAATTGTATTTTAAGTTGCATGGTTACTAAATATATTATGTCTGGCTAAATTCGTTTGTACCGGTATGTGACTCCTAAGCACCGAAGGAATTCGGTGATAACTTGGCTAAAAACTTTTATAAATAATTTCCGGTTTCCAATTTCCATATTTAATTTAACTACCCTTGTCACGAGAGTGAGAGGATAATTAACACGATTTTTCCACGAGAGTGGGAAATTAATTAAGACAAGAACCTGCATGCGAGAGCTGGGGTTCGACCCAGATAGTAGTAACGAAACATTAATTTTTAAATACACGAGAGTGTTTTAACAAATTAATTAAACTCAAGTTGTTTTCAAAAAGTGTTATTAAATTTAAAGTGCATCCACTAGGTTTAGTAGCATGACTTATTTCATGAACACGAGAGTCTATGTCTCAGGTTTTTAAACAATTCGTTTTTATCGAAATACTTTATATGTCAAGCGATTCACCGAATTCCCGAAGTCCGACTGTCACATACCGGTATAGCTATTACTATTATTTTTAATTAAACTATTTTCCCCCCTAAAACCAAATATTCATCGCTTAGTTAAACAATTGTAACATTAGATCGTATGCGATTGATCCTCAGTCTATGTGGGTTCGATAATCATTTAAAACTAGAACGACTAAACTGTATACTTGCAGTTAGTATCCCAATAGACTCATAAAGTCCCGATCATGTTTCTATCCTTTTAAGACAGCTTTCCACGTCCTGTTGTTCAGAGACTTTAGAAAGGCCACCATACGTGGTTTCCAAGAGTCATAATTGCTTACATCCAGGATGGGTGATCTGCTCACAAATCCTCCTTTCTTGTCCATATTACCAGAAAGTATCTTCCTTAGATTTCACCCAGATATAGAGCAGGATGCCTGCTCTGATACCAATTGAAATTTTGGTATCAGATATGAGATGTTGAAGGAGATGTAACGACACAAATATCTGAGGACAATATAAAATACAACAATATTAAAAGCAATAAAAACACAAGGGATCATTAACCCAGTTCGGTGTACAACAACACCTACTCTGGAGGCTACCAAACCCTGGACAAGTCCACTAAATAGTATCAATTCATAGACCTTCAGTAAACAACCAATTTACGATCTAATCACTTAATCACTACTCGTGATATACTTCTACCTAAGACACACCTAGGTATGAGGCCCTCCTCAAACCCCTTCAATCACTAACAGTGAAGAACAACTGAAATATTAAGTTTTAAGGACTTCAATCATTCAATACTTAAAAGCTTATGAATGATCCACAATTAACAACTCAAATTACAATTCAAGTATTAAACCAATACTTAGAGTGTATTACAATTAAAAAGACTTAGACTTCTAAAACAGAAAGAATATGTTCTTCTTTTAAAAGTTACAGCTTGATGAATAAGGATGCAAGTTCTTATAAAGGCGCAGTAGTGGGCTTGGGCTTAAAAACAAATATTCCAATTCCTTGAATATTTCCATGAAAACAAGTCAAGATATAATCCATAAGGATAATGCAAATAGAAAAATATTCCTCCATATTTTTCGCAAACTATGAGTCACAAATCATGAATAATGACGTGCATAAAAACAGGAAACGGATATGAAATCACATTCAGATCAGGAGGCAGATGTCAAGACATCTGGTTTGACATCATTCAAAACCAGTTTGCTTCAAATGTCAAGACATTTAGCAAAACATTATCTAGTCAGTGTTTTACCAAAATTGTTCTCAACAAACACTTACAAGGACAAACGTACTCGATTTTTAAGACTTAAGGGATTGATTTAAACTTTTTGAAAATTAAGAGACCATAATAAACTCCGAGACGAAAAATGATATTTTCCCAATTTTTTTCAACTAAACTGTCACATAAATATAAGTTAGCGTTTTTGTCAAAATTTAATAGAAAGAACCATGTTGATTAACAAAATAGTTGTTTAGAGAGTAAAAAATGAAGTCTGTTAGTAACCCCTTTAAATTAACTTAAAGGACTAACTAATTAAATTTTTTATGCTAAGCACTTCGTGTGCTGGAGTTCTTTTCTTTTGCAATATATTTTTAGCTTTTTATAAAAAGAAAGATTTGATCTATGATGACAAAATGATTTTAAAAAAATAATCTATCCATATACTATATACTTATAATTTGTAAAAGTAATTGTATATACTTCATGATTTTTTTTTCCTATTCACAATTTTTTTCATCTAACTCCGCTCAGATTGAAGGTACTGCAGAGAACAGTCAATAATACATGGGAAGCATAAAAACAGCACTATCACTTTTCCATTCTTCCCCTTCACTTTTCTTGTTCTAGAGCGGCAGAGGACAGGACACTAAAAACTAAGTTGGATTTTCCTTTTCTCCTTTTGTACAAAAATCATGTCCCTATAAACAGCAATACGGGATGGCATCTCATGATCACACTAAAAAACAGAGGTACCTATTTCACTGCCCCTCTAATAATGAAAAATTAAAACCCCTATCATTTCTCTTTACAGCTAAATTATAGCTATACACAAAAATTGTTAAGGCAGTGGAGAAATGAAATAGGAAGCTTGTCCCTGGCCCTTGGAGCAGCTATCTCACTTGGAATTTCCATTTCTTCTTTTAGCAGCAGGTGAACCTGGATGCTTTCTTGGTTGACTACCTAATGTAGGTTGTTTCCTTGGCGATGAAGGAATCGACGACGGGAGCATACTCCTTATTCAAAGTTATAGGAAATGAAATACAAGTTAGTTAGTTAGTTAGTTAGTTAATAATAATGAATTTAGTTATGATACAATGTTAAACTAAAATCTGTATAAATCACAATCACTGATATGTGTGACTTCAGAAGTAGTAATGATTTAAAGTCAAACCTTTTTAATGATATGGCGATTACGATTGGTTGAGAGTACATAAAAACTTTACACTGATTGTGTATATATGAATTCAATGCAGCAAATATGAATTCAATGCTAATAATATGATCCTTGAAATGAACATGAGCAACACGAAATGCAGCAAATAATACCTGGTTTCGAAGTTCTTTGCTTGTTTAAGATGAACTGATTTCTTTGGTCTAGACAATAATAAATTGGAAAAGGTAGATGTTCTGGATGAATGAGAATGCCAACTCATGTCTGATTCTGAACATTCACTAGTTGAACATTCACTAGTTGCTAACTCAAGCTCATCAGAGTCATTTGTGGGTGTGGTGGTCACCTCCGTGCATATTTTTGAAGGGTCTAAAAGATATGAGGAACTTGATAATGGAGAATATTTGCTTTCTATTTGCGACTGTCCCGTGAGGCTATCATCAATTGTTAAGCTTTCATCCCTATTCATACTTCTACCAGAAACTGATTCCCTGTCATCCTCATTTCCATTTACCCCAGCATGTGGATGTGGCCGTGTAGGTAAATTCCTATATATGTCTTCAGGATCAAGGCTTCGTCTTTTCAGCTTGGATGCAGCCTTTTTAGGGTCCTACAGAACCAAATAATTTTTATGAATATGTTACTATTGACATATGAGCTGATGGAGATTGGAAACTATGTATTATGAGATCATTCTCTTGTATATCATGCTTCTAAGATGTTTAGCATTAGTAGTAGTGAATTTCAAAATTTAGATGTGTTTGTAATCATAATATTACGGACAGTAATCATGAAAGAAAAGAAAATACATATTTTCTCTCTAAAAGTTAGCTAAACCAACTATTCAATAAATGAATTCTTTGAAGTCGTGTTTAATTATGTTACCTCGATGCTATTGGAATCATCTCTTGGTAACTTACGACCTCCGGAAGTCCAATTAGCTGACCTTGTCATGTCAGTGATGCTATTTTCAGCTTGCTTAAATTTTTCCAACTCTCCATCCTTCATCCTTGCTAATGTTGCCTTTAGACTAGCAATCTGGCAAAGAAGACGGCAAAAACAATCAATGATGAAAGTGCACGATTTGCAGGTATAGAGACTCATGGTTCAATTCAGAAAAAATAAGGTAAGAAGAAAGAACCTGTTCCTTCAGCTCTTTCACTTCGCTGCTACTTTTATTAACCCTTGCGGCACCAAGTTCAACAGTGGAGACTCTTTCAGCAAACTTAAGTGTACTAATAGTTTCTCCAAGAGCTTCAGGCTCAGGGCTAATATGAACAAACATGAGTGTCTTTGCTTGGCCTCCTGATAAGTATATGCAAATACATAGACAGAATTCAGCTACATAAAAGTTAACATAAGAAACAATACCAAAAGAAAGGATATGAACATACCAAGAGAGTCCTGAAGCAACTGAGTAAGTTTACTGTTTCGGTAAGGAACGTGTGGTTGCTTTTGGGCAAGGGAAGCAATTACATCCCCTAAAGCGGAAAGCGACTTGTTAATATGTTGAGCCTCCTTTAGCCTATCTCCTATGACCTCAGATTTATCAACCCTCTCACTTCCAGCCAAATCAACTAGGTGGATACATCCACGTAGACTATTTCCTGACGTAAGCTCTCTTCCTTGAACATGAACTGTCAAGCAGCTGCAATTAGCATGTCACACGCTAGTACCAATTAATGAATTTATGGGAAAACGTATATGATAAACAAGATACCAAAGTATGTCATAGTCTAGCACAGTGAGATACTAGTTTTTCTATTAAAGGATATACATAACACAGGAAAAAGTACAAGGTTTAAAATTTGAGCTTAATGAACATGCACAAAGGATCAATCGCATTTTACCAAACATCACAACAAATATCAATATCTGCATAGTTATTATACAGTTAAGTTTTCAAAGAGTTAACTGAGACTATTTTTCTTTTGATTTATTTTGGCACAGCTTGATTAAGAAAACAAATCAGTGCTGCAAGTTGAAGAATTTAAGAGATGAACTTGATCTGCACACACCTATGAGAACGACTACTCTGATTGTTCATCGCAGTAGCACTAACTGCCCGATTTCTTTGTCCCAAGTTCATCAAATTTAAGACATCGGCTGTGGATGAAACAGGAACAAGGTTTGCATCTGGCACATTAATACCATTATGGGAGCTGTTGCGAATTTCTAATGTATGCAAATGTTAATGGATCACAGACAGTAGCTAGAGAATCATTAATTCAAAAATTTAGTTAGTAGTGTTGATAAATTAAACAAAAAAAAGGATATCTTTTGTTAGAAGCATCGATCATTAGCAGGTCTCTCACTTGCTCATTGTATATCTCAAGCATTTGGACAGAGATATCATAGTGAATTCTGTCTTTCCGTTGTTCTGAAAGATTGAAAAGATCACTCAAAGCGCGGTAGTTGACACCAACTGTTTCCTCGGTAATATTGTCTGGTCCAGACTAAAATCAACACATAAGATGCACTAAAGGAGTTATAACAATTCGTACAATTTTGAAAGTGAAAACAGAGAGGGTGCAGCATTATTGTCTGATTCTCTTAGTCTTACCATAGTGTGTGTTTTTCCTGAGCCTGTCTGGCCATAGGCAAATATACAAACATTGAATCCATCCAAAACTGAACGAATCAGAGGTTGTATATCTGAGAAAACCTCCACTGCATGTAAAACATAAAGAGTATCAATCATCCATGAAGCAAACATGAGAAGTATAGGTGTCAAACTCCATTGGAATTATATGTGTTGTTATGCATAGACTTAAGAATGGCGAAAACATCCATAAGATTGTAAATTGTGGGTCATTTTAGTCTCTGTAGAATATTTGGCAAATGGCAACACAGTAACCTTTGGATTATAAGGATAACAGAACCTACCTTGAGTTGCAGAAGGACCAAACACTTTGTTAAAAGTAAATATCTTCTTCACCTCTTTTCCATTCTTAGAAGGCATTATGAGTGAAATACTTTCTTCTTCTACATTACCGACAATGCCATGATTGTTTGCTTGCCCTTTTAAGGGGCGAACTCTACAGTACACTCTAATATTTCCTACAAACATGTAAAAATGTTTTACTATCTAGTCTCATTCAAAAAACTAAGAAGGAAATTAATTATCAGACACTGAAAACAAATTGAGTTTCACCTTTCAAGTCCTGCATCTGATTGTATAACTTGCGGTTTTCTTCTAGAACTTTCTGATATCCTGAAGCAGAAGTAGCTAAGCTATTCAGATGCTTAGCTAGATAGACGAAATCCTCCCTGTATTTTTTATTTAGACAGTGCATTCCTTCTTTTGTTTGATGAACAATCATTTTCAACTCCTGAAGAATGTCCAATATCAATATTGTCACTTAATCTTTTACATTCCTGAATTAATCTAGTTTTAGTAAGTTCCTTATGCACCATCATTTCATCCCACACTCATGCAGTATGCAACTTAAGTTACTGCATATATTGCTTTACGTGCATGAATTACCTGGATGTTTTCATTTTGCCTTTGAATTATGTTTTGGCAGTTTTGATGCTTCAAAAGCTGGCTACTTGATTCTTCACTGCCATCATTTTCTTCCATCTTAAATAATTTATGAGACAAAAAGTTAAGTCAAGTTGTTGCACCATAATACTAAGCAATTAATTAACACTTTGGCTTGCAGAAATAGTGATTTGTAAAACAAATTATTTTGAAAAGTCTCTTTTGAAATCTAAATTTTGCCTCTTCATCACCATCAACAGCTTTTAAATTTGAATTCAATCCTTTAGATGGTGTCTTATCTTCTCGGGGTGTAATAGACTGCCATCATAAAAATTGTCATGAAATTTAGCAAGACACAGAGATCAAATTTTGGGTGCGTATGTATGTGAATGCATGCAAAACACACCCACAGGGGAATTTTATTTTAAACAATTTCACTGATATGAGGTTGGAACACACTGTTTGTTGTTGTATGGTGAGCACGCGACTTTCAAACTCCTCCATGACTTTGCTAAGCAGAGATTCCATTATCTGACAAAAGACATTAATTAACTCTTTAGTGAAGAGCAAACTCTAAAAAATCTCTTCCAAGAGGTGCTAAGCAATAATCCTTACAATTGGAATTTCTTCTTGCTTCTTATCATGCAAAATTTCACGAACTAGTGAAAACACAGAAGGAATAGAACTCTGCAGATATCAATCCAAATAGTTATTCAGATAGGTATGGACATATGATATGGTACACTGATTCACAACAAATGTTTTAAAAACTCAATCCTACATTGGACCAATAAGACTTCCGATTTATGGTTCAAATAAAAAAACAAAAAATGATCACTAACTAATTACCGCTTCAGTGGGATCAGGCAGTACAGCATCAATGTTTGAAGAGTGATCACCCGGCCAACTATCTTTGTCACCTATTGACTTAGTTCTTGACAAAGACTTTGTAAATGGTTCTACGCGTTTCCTCACAACTTGTTTCTCAAAGCTAGGTGGTTTTGGATTCCCACCATATTTCCACGATCCATTCTTACCTCCCATTTTCCACTCATTATACGATTGAAGTGCTAAAACACAATTCACTATCCTTGAACATTGCCCTCCCTAAAAAAAGCATAAAACATGTTAAAGCAGAATAAAGTTACATCACAAAAATGATAACAATGTTGCATCAATTTCAAAGTACCAAAGTTTCATGAACTTTATCGCACTAAAGCTACAATAGCGCACCTCCTCCAAATCAGAAGCTTCAAATGTTGGAAGCCCCATCTCCTCGACAGTTACTAGAAAATTCCTTACATTTTCAAAGTATTGATAAACAGATAGTGCTGCCCCATCAGGAATATTATCAATGTCACTTGGAGCTTCAACTACCTAACAACATACACAATGATTGTCACACAAATCAATGATTACGATAATCTATAAAAGCACCAACAAACACACATATATCAACACAAGAAGTAATCGAAACTATATAAAATCGTGATTCTAACTCCCATGCTGGTATATAAATATATATATACCTTGGGAACAGCTCCAGGTTGAATTTTGTTGAGAGCATTGCAAAGGATAATGCCACTACGCAAAGCAATTCTGAAATCTTGTTCAGAAGGTTCATCCACCATGTCTTTTCCTCCAACATTTCCAACTGTATTTCGCAGCCATTTAGCTGCTTCATTCCTTCTTGAGGCTACAATTCAACAACAAACACAAACACAAAGTACTATCTATGTTACTAACAATGGAATTGAATGAAAATATATCGAAAGAATAGAAAAATGAAGAAATGTGATCTTTACAAGCTTCTTGAGCTTTTCTTGTAGCGAAGTTGATATCGCTTAAACTACTTCCATGTTTTTGAATAACGTCTTCAACAACGGATACAATTGAAAATGGCAAAGCTGGCTCTGGTTCTGATTCTGTCGCCATTACTTTCGAAAAACGAAAATCCGAATCGGTTTATGATTAATTGGGAAGAATTAATCAAACACAGTTTATGATTGTTTTGTAATTAAATGCTCATGAGAATGAGAAAAATAATCATGAAGATGCAGACATTGGATTCTGAGAGAGCCTTTCTTTCTGTACCAAACAAGAAAGAAAGAAAGAAAGGCGATGAATTGTGGAAAGAAAGTGAACAGAAAGAAAATGGTTTTTGAAAATCTTTTCTTTCTTTCTTTCTCAGTTTCTCTCTACTTTTGTTGTTTCTAATATTGACGTGAAAAACCTGCACCGAACCTGCTTCCGACCCTTTCGCTCACTCGTTTATATTTATAACACTTCATTGTTTCAATTGTAAATATGTTGTATTAAAATTTAAAATCTATAATCACTTGGGCCTTTTGCCCTCTTCTATTACAAAATTCATAATTTCACCAAGGATTTCTTTTACATCCTAAAGGTTTCTATCGAAGTTAAAAAAATACTTCTAAAAATTCAAAATATATTTCCAAAACATACTAATAATAAAATGTAGATTAAAATTATAATTAATTTCTAATTTATATTCGAACTTACATTTTCGATTTTATTCTACACAGAAAAACAGAAAAATAGCATTAAAAACAGTATTGTATGTAGTATATGGTATATATCGGAAATATATTTTCGATTTTAAAAGACATTTTAAGAATCATGTAAGATTATTTTTTTTTACAATAAGATAGAAAGAGAAATTCTAAAAAAAACTCAAAAAAGATGTATGGTTGTATTTGGTAAAAATTAAATAACCTTGAAAAGTTGACTGATAGCTAAAAAAGATGGTTATAGTTTATAACCAATGGTTGAGCTGTAGCCGAAAACTAATTTATTAACATTTAAATATTTAATAAATTTAACTGTTATAAATATAAAATGATTATAAATTAGATATTTTTTTGAATTTATATATTTTAATTTATTTTATGTATAGAAATGATTAAAAAAATGAAAAGTCCATATTTTTTCTGGTTACAAAAGAAAGTCCATATGAATCAACCTTTTTCTTTATATAGAAGAATCGAAGTTTTTTTTTTTTTATAAATTCAGGTATTTAATTAACTTGGTTGCATGGCTATTGAATGTTTCTAAATATACATTTTGTTAATATTGAATTGTTAAAAAATTAAAAGTAGTGCATCCAATATTCATCTTTCATCCATGGCAGCTCGGAAAAAATACCCATCATGCAAAGATAATACTTTAGTTGCGTTGAACCTAAAACTTTCTCATCATACCAGACATAAAATTTTCATCTCTTGAAATTTCTAGTATGTTTATTTTGTACACGTCAGAAGCATAAGGCAAACATAAGTTTCGGCGGGAAAGGAACTTTATCTATTTCTTTAAGCCTTGCGATCTTAAATTAAGGATGCCATATGAAACACTTGAGCTAAAAACATCAGTACGCATACAACATAGATTACATTAATTTACTACTCTTTATTATTCCACTCGGAATACGTACATAGACAACTTCAGTAAACAAACCATAGATTGCAGATTGCATCTATTAATTAGCCAGCCACCGAAGCATTACATCTTGATGAATTTCTTTTCATAAATCGTCATCAAGTATGGTGGACATCAACAGCCCTTGAATAAACTCGCATCTTTTCGTCTTCTCCTCCTTATCTTTAACTGACATGGTTGGTGTCTCCACATGGCTGAATAGAAAAGGTAGACTTGTTAGAATCCATGAGACAATAGAACCCACGCCATTGCGTAATATTGTTCGAAAATTGTGACTTCGCGAGGAACAAGACATTGTTTGCAATAAGGCACTCACTTGATCGGAGATGTGAAAGGTTACAAATGCAAAAAACATTAATAACAAAATAGTCAGGAAAAAAATATTTATACAAAGCAAATAAAGTACTCAATTGAATAAGTTGGAAGCCGTAAGCCTTTAACAAAATTCAGATAAATTAAACATGCCAACATATCACACAGTTGGTACTAATTGTGAGAAAACAAGTCTCTGAAAGTCGGTTAAGTTTGAGGAAATGTTTTGTTCACATCTTGTTTTCACTTTGAATTGGAAAACTGTCATATGTCTTCACTTTTTTCCGATTTTCAAACATTTGTTCCAGAAACAGTGAATAAAGCTTTTCAAGACTCTAGTGCGAGAGAAATGACAAGTAGGAAGAAAACCATAAAAATGAATACAATCTATCTAGTATAAAAATACTGCAACGGTAGAATAAAACCTACCAATTTCATGAAATTTTCATTTACATATAAACAATATATGGTATTCTCGCATGAAAAACAATAGATGGGCACAGTATCACCTATCAACTCATTCACGAAGACGTGTGCAATATTGAGCAGAAATCTGTGATGTGGGGAGATTAATCAGTTACAGAACTTGAAAACTGAAAAGAAATACCTTTTTGGCACAGTCTCGTCCGAGCCTTTCTTGGATGATCTTGTCTCAGTATGTGTGTGAGACTGAGAACTCATAGATTCATTACTTAAAGGCGATATGAATGAAGACAGCAGCGGATCAGGTGCTGCATTAGACGAGGACACTATACATTGAGACCCACCAAAAAGGGATTGCAAATTTCCTTCTCTTAGCTCCTTCCTCAATAACGAAAGCGTTGAATAAGATCCACCTTTACGTGATTTCCTCTTGCGCTGCATGTATTCCCTTGTTAAGGAATTCAGCCAAGTAACAGGGTATAGTTTGAACTTTAAACATAAAAAACAATTTTATATTAATTTTGATCAACCTTAAAATAAGTAAACTTTATGGGAACATGTTCCATATTGTAAAAAAATGACTAAATACTACGCAATTTATATGTCAAAAATCATTTAAGAATTGCAGAAGCGAACAGAACTTGAAGAGAAAAAAGGATATCTTAAATATATTTCCATGTTGTAAGGTTATGTGAGCAACCATATCAACCCCCACCCTCAATGCACAAACTGGACATACCTGCACGCAAAAATATTGTAATCCATAAAAACTATTGATTTCTCTAACTACAAAAAAAACATATAACTTCCAATGTAAACATCGTAACATAATATTGATTTCACCTATATGAAATGTGGTTTGGCCAAACTCATATTTACATAACCAAGTTGTATGGTGAGGATTGCCCCCACCACGTTCTTGCCATATACTGCCCGGTGTTGGACTCTTAACACACACCCTCACGTCCAGAACTAAACATTTGGAACGTGGAAATAAATGGCGGGTGGCCCGATATCCAAAACCTAGTAACAGGTAGTCCAACGCATCTTAAACCAAGCTCTGATACCATGTTAAGAAAAATGGTTTGGCCTACCTCGATTTATAAGCACATGTTTAGGACAGTTTAGGCCATATATTGTCTATGTGGGACTCTTAACATAAATAGGGAAAGACATGTAAGACTGAACAAAAACTTTAAGGCTCTGCACTAATTAAGCATATCTTATAGAGCCAATACTGAAAACCTTGTAAGCTGTTTGAAAAAAAATAACATAAGGCAAACAAAAATAGTCATATTCATACATACCCCATTTTTTGCTTCCATTGGATGCTCTTCATCAATATGGCAGCACAATCCAACAATATCAAAATACTCAGAACAAAACGGACACAGAAACTCTTCCCTTATATCTTCTTCCACATCGTTTTCATCAAAACCCATGAACATATCTACATTCACACAACCTCAAATCATTAAGCACAAAAACACTTGTACAAAAAAAAACATTCCGATTCAGAAAGAAAAAAAAAACTTCTATTAAGTAAAGCCGCATAATTTACAACTCCACTAATAGATCTCAGTCTCTGTTAATATGAATTCCATCCCAAATCCCAATTATCATTACTTAAAATTTCATATAATTCTCATTTCTAATCCCAGTAACAACCAAAGCACATAAATAACTCTAAAAAGTAACAATTAACAACGAAGCTAACAAATTGAAAAAAATCGAAATTCGGTTGTCGAAATTGGGGAAAAGACGGACCTGATCGAGATTGAAGAGCGGCTTGATACCGTCTGGATGCGGAAGAGAGACGAGCAGTCCAAGAGGAATCAGCGTCCATGATTTGATTCGCGATGTGAAAGGATTAGGGTTTTGGATTTGGTTGAGGAAGTGAGACAGTGAGAGAGAAGGAAGGAACAAACAAACCACAGGAAGAAGAAGAAGAAGAATGTGATCGCGAATTTTTCACCCTACCAACAAAGGGTAAAAGTAACCAATCTATTTGTCTTCCTCCATTCATTTATTTTTCCTTTTTTGTTTTTTTATTTTATTTAATCTTTTGTTTTTTTTTTTTTAGATTTTATTACACGTCACGGTTCGGAAACGTCCAAAAGTTCAAGCTGGAAAGACGAGTGAGTAATGAGGTCATACATAAATAGGGAGTCAATTTGTCTATTTCTTGGAATGCTTCTACAAAGGTTTTAGTAAATATGATGTGAACTAGCGACACTTTTTAAAATTATACATATGCTTATAAGATTCTTTTATTTTTATTAGTAAGATATTACGGATAAATTTATTTAATATTATATAAAATATATTTAGATTCATCTAAATTTAAATTAAATGATTAAATAATTATAAAAAAAGAAGAAAAAAAATTGTGAGATGAAGAAAAAAAATTAATATTTAAAAAATAAGGATTTTGTTTCTCAAATTAAATTAAGACAATGATTAATTAAAATAAAATAGATATTGTGTTGATATGACCCGTGAGATAAATAAATTTTTAATTTTTATTAAAATTAAAAAATAAATTATTAATATTTTTAGTGATAATAAATAAATAGAGAGAAAAATTAAAATGAAAGTAAAAAAGTGTGGAAAATATGTGAGAGAAATTTAAAATTTTAATCAAGAGAAATAATATGTGTGTAATATTTAATTGTGATTTAATTAGTGAATATTGAAAAATGAATGTCACGTGTGATGTTGTAATAGAAGATGTGAATGAAAAAAGTAAACATTTTTATAGTAAAATTTAGCGTCATTAATAGTTAAACAAGCAAGAATTACATATACCATGAGGTAGGTGAAATGGAACATAATCCATACATAGCCTAGAAACACTTCTAATAGAAAGTGCTACATAATCATAAGAGAAATTATACATGGATTATTCACAATCTAAGGCACAGTCAAACGAAAAGCAACCACATTTTATCTAGCAATTCATTCTCTTGCAAACACCATTAATGGCAATGTGGGTGTGAGAATTCATGGTATTTTTCCAAATCTAATTACGGATGATTTTTTTGACTTGTGTTTGTATATTTCTACGTTCTTTAGTCTCAATATTGTCCAACCTTATCGAGTGTTCAAAAATTAATAAATGACTATAGATAGTGTTGAAATGGGTGTTGGTTTCATAAGCTCCCTCAGTCACTATGAAATGCCAATAGATACACATAAACATGCTACAAGACACAAAACTCTTTTGAGATATTTTATCACACACATAAAGTGTAACATTTTCCTCTAAACAACAAAAACATAGAATGGGAATATAAAATACGAAACTAAAATTAAACACCTCTGTTAGAAGAAGTAGATTCATTTTGTAGCAAAACCATGAAGGCTTTGGTGGTGGACGAAAAACTGCAAACAATGAAAGTAAAGAAGCGGTTACAAGTGAGAGAGGTGTATCCTCAATTTCTACTTTTGAGATGTGCAGAAAACTCATAACAAGTTTGTCATTACTTAATGGAGGTGGCTTCAGTGTTGGTCAAAACACAAAAAATAAAGCTTGGCGGTTGATAGTGATGGAGAAATTGAATGTCCAATGAGAGACTTAGTTATGGTGAAGCCATGAGAAATAAGATGGGTGGAGGGAAAATGCTCTCAAAAGAGAGGGGGATTGCCACCATAAAGGTGGAAGGAGAGTGTTCTCAGGGAGGTGGGAGGAAGCCACCAAACCCTAGACAATTAGGGGAGATTTTTCTAGAGAGAAGCCATCAAAGGTCGATTTTTATAGATGACATTAATTTCTACTCTTGAACTAAACGATGATCAAAGAGGTTGAACTGGTGTAACATTGCGGTGGTACAAGATTTCAATGTGGTGGACATGAGGCAGACCTGCAAGATTAGTGTTATAGAACGACTAATGGTAAGTTTGTTCTTTTCTCTCTACTATATATAACTTTAGATAATTTAATTTCAGGTAATAAGTTTCAAATACAAATTCAATTCATTATTCTCTTTCACATAATAACTTTAGTATTGGAGTGCTAACCTTGCAGGTCATCCCCTTCTCCACTGCAACGAAAGCTCAAATCCTCTGTCACTTCCAATCCTCACTCTATTTTTTATTCTAAAATGAAACAGTTAGTGATAGCTTTAGCTTGAGACAGATCTTCAGAGAATCCAATCTTCAAAAGTGTTGCTTGATCCACAAGAACCAAAAATTAAATCTTCTGAAATATACTAGAAACAAATCTTCTGAAAATAGAAACTGAATAGGCTTCAATGTCATAGCAACATGTCACGACATCTTGTCTAACATCTTGATATACATATTGTTTTATCAAAATGAAGCCAACAAGCCGAAACCTTATTGTTAGTTCTGTGTTTTTGGGATTGACAACAATTTTAGTTAAAACGTGTATCTCAACAAGATGTTATGCAAGATGTATTGACATGTTGGTTAGACATCATTGTAGAGATGTTGAGCACGATGTTGTAACATGTTGGTTCAGATATCAGTCCAGGTTTAGGTTTTACTTCTTGTAAGCATTGTTTTTAAAACATTAGATTATGTATTGTTTTAGTTCTCATGTTGTCGCAATCTAAGGAGGGTTATTTTAGGAACATTGGTTATATCCTAGAAGTGCTTTTGTTTCATAAAAAGGAGCCTGGAGATTTTTTGGGAAACATTCTTTTTTGTTCCTATTTTTGTGCAGGAGATTTACAGTTATTATTTTGGATTTGCGTTTCATTTGAATAAAGAGCCTAAAGCCCATGCTTGCCAAAGACTATTTAAAGTACATTCTAAACTTAATGCTATTAACTAACTCATGCATGTGAGATTATTATTTCTAGGGTTTAGCGTGTTCTTTGTTCTTTGTGATCCACTCTATAGTAGAGTTGTACTATATTTATTATGAGTCAATCATGTATCCCTTGGATGCTTGAATTGGACTTTTCTGAGTTGTAATTGCAAATCACTCATAAGTTTTTAAGCAAGAGTGCATTTTGTGTTATTAGAAGTGTGTCTTCTATAATTGATTGAAGTTCTTATCACTGTTGTGTGATTGAAGTATCTCATAACTAGGAGTGTTTTAGATAGAAATAGCACAGGTGGTGATTAGGTGCGAAGATTGTAAATCAGAGGTTTTTTATCTGGGCTTCTGTTAGCTGGAAATTTCGACTAAGGATTTTAAAGTTAGACTTGAATATACTTCAGAATATTCCACTACTTTATTTATGTGAAGCCATAAAGGTCGAGATTCGAATTGAGTAAAATTCGTTGGAAAGGTTTACCAATTCGAATTATTGAATAAAGATTGTTATTCGAAATGTGGCTAAGGTTTCAAACATTTTTTTGTTCAACCATCTTCAGAGATTGGAGCTCAAGATAAGAAGGAGATTCGAACTCAAATATTTTGATCTTATCCGAAAAGACACGTGGAAGGCTCTGAGTTCGTCGAAGACATGAAAACAGAAACGTGGCATTAGTTCGTGTAGAAGACCGTTAGGGTCGAAGTAGTATAAATAGTGGCTTTAGTATTTCGATTTAGGCGGTGAACATCTTTGTACAAATTACTCAGAAATTACTCAAAGTTCCAAGTGTTAAAGAGAAACGAGTTTATTGAGGATGTACGTATGATACACCCATTTAATATAAATGCATTTACTTTCTGCAGAATTTCCAGTAACATTCACTTAAGTCTTTTACCATTTCAAGTTTAGAAGTAATTTTACTTTCACTTTATATGCATTTTAATTCGACATTTGAAGCCATTTGTCTTCATATACAAAACATATTAAATACAACAAACAAGTTAAAAGATTAATAAAGACACTCGTGTCCTGAGATCAATCTGATCTATCTCGCAAGTAACTGGATCCGTGAAAGGATTTGGAAGATCAGCGGTTATTTACCAAAATTTGAGGGTAAACAAATTGGCACGCCTGATGGGACCTGTGTCTTTATCCATCTTAGTTTTGACTTGTTTATTGCATGAGATTGAGAAGTGGGAAACTAGCCAACAATATAAATCCTAGACCAAAAGTACAACACATTAGGGGAATGGCTAACCCACCCATTAGTGATGCGCAACAAGTTCACCCTCCTGTGGGAGGAAATACCAGCGCTTCGAATACAAACGAAGTGATGACGGCGAGTCAAGGGACTGCAACGATCCATTCGACAATAAGCGTTGCAGTTATACCCCAAAATATAAACACCAACTATATCATTAAACACCCATAACGAACATACCATTGTGTCTATGGCCAATCAAAATCCACCATTAACACCCAGGCCTTCGATAGGTATGTCTAGAACTTTTCCACTACGATTTACAATCCCAACATCAGATCCTATATATGGCATGCCAACTTCGTTCATAACGGGATTTCAAAATAATACGTCGACATACACCCGTATCGTAACATCTACTTTATCACCATTGCAAGGATCAGGGTCTGGGATAAAACATATGGCTAGAAACAATTCGCAACAAATCCAAATACCTTTTATCACCACAAATACACAAGCAGTCATAAATGGACGATAGCAACCACGAGATGTTGGGCGTATTCGGCCAATAGATGGGTACGATTTTCAACCCTTTAATTCAAAGCACTACACAAACTAACTTGCAGAATGCCTAAGAAAACCAACAGATGGCAGCACAAATAGGGCGTCTTGCTGATTTATTTGGTGCGCCCAAAGAAGCGGTTCGACAGCCACCCCCATATCCCACATGGGTAAGGGAGAATCAAGGCATCGTATTCCAAGAAGAGCCAACCATAAACCAGGCCCAACCTTTGATTCACCCTGAAGCCGAAGTCCAACAACCAATTCGAAGGGAGGAACCACCCAGACCCCAACAGA